CACTGTTCAGTTCGTTAGGTGGGTGCCCCTCCCCCAGCCCTGGGGAACAGTTCCTGCACTGCTGGCTTCACTTGCCCATGTTAGGAATTCTCCACCACAGCTCCCCATTCAGGGGTCTGTCTCCAACGCCAGCCTCGCTGTCACCCCAGGCTTCCCCGTTCTAACACGGTGTGTACTTGAGGGGGAGAGATGACTGGTTTGGTTTCAGGCAGTTGGGACATGCTGACTTCTACTAATTCAAACCCCACCAGCAAGAAGGCCCAGGCCAGCTGTGCAGCTCTGACTTCAGTGTGACGGCCGTGCCCGAGGTACCCTGAGCAGTGCCCACCCCCAGCCCAGCCCGCCTTCTCACAGCAGAGCCCCTGGGCAGCCAGTTAAGGGGGGAGAAGCACCGGAGGCTTGGCTTCTGCCCAGGCCCCTCCCCCTGCCAGCTGTGCTACAAGCGTCCAGACTGTCCAAGCGAAACCCAGCCAGATTTGCTATAATCGGGATCGCAGCGTTTCACAGTTTATGCCAACAGTTTGTAAAAAGATGCGACATGTTTCTTCCAAACGCACAACCAGAGACAGGTCATCCGTGAGCTGCCAGAACACATTTCACACGAAGCATGAAAAGTCCCAGGAGCTGAGCGACGAAGAACTCAGTCACAGGCCGGCGGGAGCAGCCAGGCAGCCCTGGAGAATGCCAGAAAGCCCGCCAGCCTGCTGTTGCTGTCACTGCCATCACCCCCAGAGGGCTGTGCAGGGAGCCAGATGCATGCTACCCGGGACCCCAGGCTGGGGAGGGGCAGCTGGCAGCACCGGAGAGCAGTGAGCATGAACCACCACGCCCTCCTTGTGGGCCAAATAGGCGGAATGCAGAGATGTAGCCCTCAGAAGACAGTGGGAGTTGTCGCCTCATTCCTGTCCCCTTTCCTTTCCTCGCCCCTCGCCACCCTGCTCCACCTGGACAGTCCATAACCTGCAGCGTGAATGGAGCCAGTCTGGGATGGAGTGAACACCAGTTCCGCCCAGTATCGGCCTCAAAGGAAGCCTTGCAGGACGAAGGAGAGCAGCTGAGGCGGGACAGCCAACTCGGGGTTCAGGGCAGTTGCGGCTCTTGCAAACAATCTGAGTTCCGTTCCCAGCACTCACAGGGCAGCTCACAACTGCCTGTAACTCCAGTTCTCCGGACCAATGCCCTCTTCTGACCTCTGTGGGCACCAGGCATGCTTGTGGAGCACAGATTCATGTGCAGGCACAACGTCCATACAGACAAAATAAGCTGAATAAATCTTTTTCATTTTTTAATTTAAGACAACTGGAGCTTGTTTTCAAGCCCAGCTGTTGAGGTTTCAGGCCAGATCCTAACTCTTTTGAAATCTAATTTTTAATCAGCACATGGTGTTTTCATCCAGGCTGCTTTGCTGGCTTCTCCCCACCCTGATCTGCTCAGCAAGGTCCCCCACCTTGTCAGCCTCCCAGCAGGAATGACAACATTCTGAGGAAAGCATTTGCGTCCCTTCCCTTGGCCGTCAGATTTCCGTTATCAGGAATTCCACACTGGAAGAGGAAGAAAAAGGCTGAAAGCAGCCAGAGGGAACTTGTCCCCTAGAAAGATGTCACCCAGCTCTGACAACCTGACAGTCCCGCCCTGCAGGGCAGACTGGAGCTGAGAGGATGGCAGTCAGTGATGGGCAGGCCCAGGCTTGACCAGCCCAGCCTGCTCAGCCATGCTCCCTCCTGTCAGGACCCTCGAGATGGACTTGGGGGATCACTGCTCCTCACTCTTCCTCTTTCCAGTGGACCACGCTGAACAAATCTTCCTCTGCTTTCATTATTATTTGTCTCTGTAACTTCCTTACTGAGGGTAGAGGCCCAGCTTAGTCTGTTAGTCTGCCAAGGCCCACACTCTGCCCTGTCAATGTCCTCGCCCCAGCCCCCTGCTGGAACCTTTTCTTGCCCACACCTTTTCTTGCCTTAGCCACCCCAATTAGTTAACTTGGGCAAGGGGCTGTTCACACCCGGCAGCTTCCTCTTCAGGACTGCTCTGAAGGAAATGCCCCTACCTGGAGCCCCTAACAGCCTCGGCTCCTGGAGAACGGCAGGCGCCACCATCTTCATTCCCCAAAGGACGTCCGCAGGGCTAGGTCACCAGATTCCAGGATCTCCGAAAGCCAAAGGTGGCACATCCCTGCCCTGTAACATCTGAACCAAGCACACCCTGTTCCTCACAGTCCCAGGCTCACGCATTCCTTCCTGGGAGCACAGGACCCTCCCCACCCGCCACCCAGAAGTTAGCCTCAGCCTAGGCCTGAGCTGTAGACTGTTCATCAACCTCGTGCCACTTACTCCACACCTTCTCTGAGACCTACAGAAGGGCACACCCGCAGCCGCGCGGGCCGCACTCTCCTGCTGCTCTCTGCCCATACCTGACACAGCTACCTGGGGGACAGCCGCCTTTCCTGCGGCACACGTACTTTACTTCATGGGCCCCTTCCCAGGCTCCTGGCCTCTGCCCACTCACTCCCACAGAAATGCAAACGTATGAAAATTAGAAGCTAGGAACCACACACAGGAGAGAAGGCATGTTTGTCTTTCTGCGGCACCTCTTACCCTTTTCCAGGTCCTTCCATTTTCCTACACGTTTTGAAATTTCACTTTTCTTTACAGCCAAATAAAAGCCAACAGACGTTCAGCTAACATGGCAGTAGACAGCGACCTCTGTGTCGCCCGCTCCTTATTCACCCATGAGCTGCTGGCCACTCAGGCTTACCCCACGGCCCCGCCACCATCAACACAGCCACAATGACCAAGGATGTGCGAGTACCTCCGTGGCGGGCAGCCTTTTGGGGCGATGCCTCAGGGAGTTCAGCTGCGTTATTTGGGCAGTGTATATTTAGTTTCCTGAGAGCCTCCACGCCGATTCCCACAGTGGCAGCACAGACTGCCCTTCCGCCAACAGTGAATGAGGGCTCTGTTTTTTCCATGGCCTCAGCAGTGTTTGTCGCTGTGTCTGCCGTGAGCCCGGCACTTCACATGGCTTCCGTGTTTCCGCGTCCTGTCAGCTTCCTGCTGGTGACCTCCCATCCTCCTGGTGCAGATGTCCCCTTTGAGCTGCTGACAACTGGAGGGTGCTCAAGAGGGAAGAGTCTGTTTCTTTAGGGGTGCGGCCTCCCTTAGGCTGCCATGCTCTGGCAGATGACCTCATGCCCACATGTCTAAGGCAGAGCTTACTGAACTTAGTGAGTTATTAAAAAAAAAAAAAAAAAAAAAAAAGGACATGAAGCTGAGAAGAAGAGTTCCAGGAGGAGTTGGAGGGGACAAAGAAGTGGTGCGCACAATCAAAATGCATCGTACCCATCGTGAAATTCTCAAAGACTATTTTGTAACGCCCATCAGGCCCTGGCCTTGGGCCAGCACAGGCCCCTGAGCAGCATGCTGGGGTGACAGGAGACCCTATTCTCAGTGCCTGTGTGCAAGTCCAGGCATGACTCACCCATGGGAGAAGGCCCCCCACTCTCGCACTTGCTCAGGTTCACCCCCGAAAGGACCCTCCCCGGCCTTGCACTTGCTTGAGGCCAGAAAGCACCTCTGGTCTGCAGCTGGCCAGGCTTGTGAGTGACAAGAGTTGCCAGCTGAGGTACCAGGTGTGGTGATGAATCCCGGAAGTCTCGAAGCTGAAGCAGGAGGACTGCCACAAGCCTGAGGCTGGCTGACACAAACGAGTGCCCCCCCAGCTCGTCCAGGAACCACAGCATGAAGACCTCACAGGGGAGCACAGTGGCCCGGCAGGTCCCCCACACACACATCTTCCCCGCCCACCCAGAGCGCTTTTTTCCGTATGTGTAGGAGTGTGTTCCATACATCCCCAAAATGACATCTAAACCCCCAAAGAACAACAGGAAGATCCGACCACTTGGGAGGCAGAAGCAGGGGGATCCTGAGTTCAAGGCTAGCCTGAACTACATGCAGACTTAGAAGCCAGCCTGAGCTACATAGTGAGACCCCGTAGATGTGTTTCACAAGCCCTCCACAGTGTAAAACACAAGAAAGATTCACTTTGGACCAGATCTGAGAACCCTGAGCATCTGTTTTTCCTTCTTGTTAAGACTTTAGGCAAATTATGAACTTTTTTAAAGTTATTAGCTTTCTCGGACGTAAAACAGACAGCATAATAGATACAACCAGCAAAGGCGCACGGTGGCGGCACAGCCATCCACACCCAGCAGGGAATGCTCTCTCATCCTGTGTCCCTGCAGAAACACTGGTTAAGGTGGCCTCTTGCTTTGTTTGTTTGTTTGTTCTTGGGGTGTGGACACACATGCATGCACACACATACACACACACGTGCATGCACACACAAGCAAAAAAGAGAGAGAGAAAGATGGTGAGCCAGCTCCCTTGGTCACACTCCATCTGGTTTCCCCGAGCCTGAGGCTCATCGAGTCAGCTAGCTGGCTGGCCAGCAAGCCTTAGGGAGCCTCCTGAGTGCGCGGCCCCGGAATCGGGGTTACAGGTTTGTACCACTGCGCCCCGCTCAGGCCTCGGGTTTGTGTGGTAAATCCTGAGCACCTCCCCGCTCCCCGGCCCAAGTCACACTCTTTCAGTGTCACGCCCTCTCCCTTGATTGACATGGCCTCAGTCTCTCTCCAGATGACTGTCTTCAGCAAAAGCCAGCGTCGCAATCTCTATGACTGACCCCTAAGTGTGGGAGGGAGAGAGGAAAAGAGGAAGAAAGGGAGGGAAGGAGGGAGGAAGAGAAGTAGAGAGGGAGAGAGAAAGGGAGGGAGGGAGAGACAAGCCAGCCCCTAGGATGATGGAAGCTGTCTATTGGAGACGGGGACAGTGCTGACAGGATTGAGGGGACTGAATAACTCCCAGTGGTCAGGACGGACCCTGCAGGGACTCTAACATCTAACATCTCCAGCCCTTGTGCTCAGCAAGCCGACCCCAAGGACAGCAAAGTCATGTCACCATAGGTGGAAGAGGTAGAGTTGGAAAGTCCCTGAGTCCCAGTACCTCCTGAGGGCTTCCAGTGGCTCCACAGGGTAAGGAGGGGCCTGGCCATCAGAGGTCAGGGTCTCCCCCAGCACCTGGCTGACCTCCTGCAGCTGGCTGGGGGACAGCCGGGCCAGCAGGGGCGCCACGTCGAGGTCACGGCTGTGCCACCGGAGCAGCAACTCCTGCTCAGCCAACTCTCGGCTCAGCTGCTGCTCTCTCGCCTGCATCGCTGACATGCTTGCTTGGAGGCCTTCCATCTCCCTCTGCAGAGAAGAAGGACAGATTTCAGGGTGACCCTGCTCTGGGATGATGAGGACCGTTAAATGAGAAAGGCCCACGGGCACCGAGGTCCGGGCACACCCGCCGCACCCTTTGAGGCAGGCAAACTCCAGAGGTTTGCTGAGCTGGAAAAACCGTGCCAGCTTCGTGTTTCTGATGAGCTGGCAGGAAGGCAAACATTGCCTGCCTCTCAAGCATCGAACACGGGCAGGTGCTGGCCAGGGCTTTGGAGAAAGCCCAGTGAATGACACGCACACATACACACACTTACACATACACACACTCCACAAACACACTCTCACACACACACACACACAGGCACGCAAATATAGGCACACACATACATACTCTCACACACGTGCACACACATATATATGTGTATATATACACACACATTCAAACACTCACACATGCTCACACACCATACACACACACAGCATATAATTTGCACTGCTTTATTAACCCAGCATCTGTGTTAATCCCTGACCATCGTCCGTCCCAGGCAATGAATAAACAAGCAGCTGGTGCTTGAACACAGGCTGCTAGGCGGAGAGCCACTTCGATGTGTCACAGACTGTACCACCAGGCTCTGCGAGTGGGCACGCCCACACCCCATCTCCCTCCCTGCCACTCGCTGCTCCTGGAGTCTCCCCATGCTCTCTCCACCGCGGCGCACATTCCCCCTCCTGCTCTCCCGCAGCCCCACCCCCACAATCCCCACCCCCACACCTACCCACACACTCACATGCATAGCCACTCACACCTGCACACCCGCCCACAGCCACACACATAGCTGCTCACACACACGCACACCCACGCACCTCTTCTGCATAGGGTTTGACAGTGTCTGTCTTCCTCGACGCCATGTCCTCTGCAGTCACACGGCCGTGCCCTGTGGTGCAGTGTCCTCCCTCTGTCGGGGAGAGGCAGGACACCCCACGTTTTGCTCGTCTACCCAGTGGTGGGCACTGGGCTGTCTCAGCTAGCTCAGGCCTTCCTGGTGTGTGGCCACGGTAGGTCTTGGGGTCCTAAGGAGTGTGTCTTTAGGTTTGAGAACTGCAAACTCCTTCCCATGGTGATGCTACAACTTATTCTTTCATTAATTTTGTTTCCGTGTGTATGTTTGCACTCCTGTGGACACGTGTGGATGTGGGGGTGAGGCAAGTGGAGGCTCAGAGTGGATGTTCAGAATCGGATTCGCTGGCTTTTCCACCTCGAGGCTCAGCCCACCAATCCCTGCAGCAGTGTGTCTCGCTGCTGCAAGCTCGTGCTCCGGGCCTGGCTGCAGCAGTCCCAGATCCTGCCGCCTCTCAGTCCCTGCCCTGGAGGACTCCGAGGACTCCTGGAGCCCCTTTCTGGCTCTGGTCTCACCTCAGAGCCTCATTCAGAGTTCTCACCCTGGCCGCTCCCCGGCCCCATGTCAGTGCTGTGTGGGCCAAGCACGGCTCCATATACCTGCTGTCGTCACAGATGCAGCCTCGGAGCTGGGCCAGACTTAGAGCCATGCCCCTTCACAGTTGCTGCCCAGAGTCCACCCTGGCCGGAACTCCCACAGAGAGACACGGCGTGCCACAGACAGAGCGGAGCTGGGCGCTCCCGAGCTCGGGAGGCTGCGCAGCTGCAGCCCTGCCGGTGCAGGACAGCCCTGCGCCCCGCGCCCCTCACCACCTCTGCTGTGAGTCCCTGCACTGCTTCTGATTTCCTCGGGGGAGAAGGGACCACGCCCTCTCCAGATGACCCCATACCACTCACCTGCAATTGCTCCTTCTGTCCAAGAAGCCAGTCCCGCCTGGTGATGGATGCAGGCAGGCTGTCCTGGGCAGCGGTCCTCGGCTCTCCTTCAGGTGGGGCCTCTGGGTCACTGCGGCAGGACCTTCAAGTGACAGATGTGCATTGGTATGGGTGTGGGGAAAGAGGCGTGCCCAGGTGCACGCGTACTTAAAGAGACTGCACAGAGCATGCAGCTGCAGGCCGTCCAGGGGCTCGCAGGGATGGGTCCCTAAGGGACATTTCTGTCTCAGCTGCTGTTGGACCTTTTCTCCCCAATCAGATTGCATCTGTCGAGCCTGTGCTTTCCTGGCTGTGGCCACCCTGGCTGTGGGCACCTGGCACACAGTTAGCCAGACTAAACTGTGCTGGAAGCATCAACTGCACATCTAACTTAGAAGCTCCATGTGTGGCCAGGGAAAGTGCTCTTTTGGCATGGGAGAAGCCCTGGGTTCCTTCCACCCTGGCATCATACAATCAGGATTTGGTGGTGCTTGTCTGTAATCCCAGCACTTGGGAGGTGGAGGCAGGATCAGAAGTTCAAGGTCACGCTTAGTTACATAGTGAGTTCAAAGCCAGTTTGGGCTACAGGGGCTCACAAAAACAAATAACAGAGACTCTATATGAAGGCAAAGAGTGGAAGGTCATACATTCGAGAGATTTGTTTATGTTTATTATGTGTTGAAATGATATTTTGAAATGCAGGGTTGAATATAAATGTGATATATATGTGTGTGTGTATATATATACATATACACACACATATATTTATGCCCAGATAAACATTGCTAACACCAATTTTATCCACTCCTCCTGCTTTTTTTGTTCAGAGGTCACGGGCCTGTGCCAGCAGGCCTGGCTTCAAGAAGTCCAGGGTGGCCTTTCAGCAGAGTTTCTCTGAGGGGCCGCCTCTCAAACACAGCTTCTGACCTCCCCTGTGAGGCTGGCCCTGCACGTCACCGGCCAGGGATACATGCCTATGCAGTGTTGGTCGGAGGGACAGAATGGGAGCTTCATGTGTGCTTTAGGCCTGAGAGGGTGCAAAAAAGAGAAGGAGGGAGAAACAAATGCATTTTTTTTTAAATGCCATAATGAAGCCTAGTACTTTCTATGATGATTTTAAATAAATAAATGATGGAGCTGTGTGTTCTTACGCTCAGGGCACTGAGCGAGAGTGAGCTGTCAGCAGCTCCACAGGCTCCTCTGCTCCTGTCGTCTGCACATTCCTACTTCCCTCCCTCCTCCCCTCCCATCAGATGCAGCCGAAGTCCCTGGCTCACACCACACTGTTCTGACTTCCCAGACACCGAAACTGTGAGGCAAGCAAGTTCTCCCCCACTTTATACCCAGAATCAGGTACTCTGTTACAGAAACAGGCAAGGGTCGGAGGTGGTGGGTACAGACCCTAAGCTGTGAGCAGCTTATTTCCTGTCATTCTGCCCTCTCTCTCTCTCTCTCTCTCTCTCTCTCTCACACACACACACACACACACACACACACACACCTGCTCACATAAGAAAAGATCCATCAAGCTACAGACTGTTGTCAAGAGCATAGCACCAGGCTGGCTTGGTCTTTCTACACACACACACACACACACACACACACACACACACACAGCAGGGGAGAAACAGTATCAACAGAAAGTTGATCTGGCAAGGAAGGCACACTCCATTTGAGGAGCAAGCGAAAGGCTTTAGCGCTAAACCGGGGTGACTGCCCCCCATCCAGACTCTTAGGAAACGGGGGTCCCGACAAGAAAGTTGGCCTGATACTTCCAGAGCAAGACTGGGATGGCATCTCCTCAGCTCGTCATAGCACAGGACCTTGCCAGCAGCCCGGGGCCTGACCCAGACCCCACGTCCTTGAATGACCTTGATGGCCACGGTCATCTGACCTAAGGGTGGGTAGAGCCCGGAAACCAGAGAGAGGAGGTAAGAGTTCTGGGGAGACGGAATACGTGTGATACCAAAAGGGGGCTATGAGGGTGGGATGTGGGGAGGAGGGAGGAGCAAATAGGGGGATCAACTAGAATGTGTGTGGAAACGCCGTAAGGAACCCCTTGATTGTGTGTGCTAACTGAGAGTAAATAAAAAGAATATGTTAAACAAGAAATCAAAACTGATGATGATGGGAGAGTGTGTTTGTGTGTGCCCATGAGAGTGTGTAACACACTCTATAGTAAATGTTGCTGTTTTATTGCAGTCTCATGCTAAGACATTACATTAAGCTTGCTAATAAAGACGCCAAGTCTGGGGAGATTGGGTTACCCTAATTTTTAAACTTTATTTTATTTGGGGTATTTAAGCCTCCACCTCCCTTCCACCAACCCCTTAACCCTAGGTAAGAGAGAGATAGAGGGGAGAGGGGTTGTAGACCCCTTTACTTCTCCCTGCTGTTCAGCGTCGATGGGTTCTTTCGGGGCTGTACCAATCTCCATCAACAGCGAATGCAGCGAGCAGTCCCCTCCAAGCCGCTGCACTGGAATGTTTCTCGCTGTCTGTCTCCTCCCGGCCACCACATCACCTGTCTTTGGTCCCCTCAAACTGCCCCACCTTCTCTTTCTGGGCTCTCCTATTTTATCCCTCAGAGTCCCAGACCACACCCCTCTCCGTGCTGTATGAGGCAGGCCCTTACCAGCTGACAAAGACCAAGAGGCCCTGCAGGAGGCAGTTATCAGCTCTGGACAAACTAAAGCCCCAACTGAAACCCCACACTTGGGGTTAAAGCAAACAAAACAAACAAAATATATTTACCTAACACAATGAGTTTTTAAAGAAACCAAAACTTCCATCACACCTCTGCTCACACAGACGGAGTCAGTGTGGACCAGGCTGGCTCCTGGCTTCCTTTCTCCTTCTGTGATAGAACAGTCTGACCAAAAAGCAACAGAAGGAGGAGGCAGGTTATTTCAGCTTAAGTCAAGGCAGGGCCTGAAGCTGCTGCAGCAGCTCACCACAGACAACAAGGAAGAAGTGCTCCCTGCGTGCTGCCTGAGTGCTCAATACCCAGCCAGCCCGTTCTACTCTTGCACAGCCCAGGGCCCCAACCAGGGAATGGTGCCACCCATGCCAAGTACCAGGCAAGACAATCCCTCACAGGCACACCCACCGGCCAACCTGGTCTAGACAGTTTCTTGAGATATTCTAGGTTGTGTCAGGTTGGCAGTTAGAATTAACCAGCTGCCACACTTAGCGCTACTGCAGCTTCGAAAAAGCAACTGAGGGAGGAAAGGGGTCATTCATCTTACACTTCCACATCACTTCTCATCATCAATGGAAGCCAGGACAGGGACTCACGCAGGGCAGGAACCTGGAGCAGGAGCTGATGCAGCAGCCATGGAGGGTGCTGCTCACTGGCTTGCTCCCCATGGCTTGCTCAGCTGCCTTCTTATATAGCCCAGGACCACCAGCCCAGGAGTGACCCATGCACAATGAGCTGGGCCCTCCCCCATCAATCACTAATTAAGAGAATGCCTTCCAGGCTTGCCTACAGCTGAGCTTATGGAGGTATTTTTTGATTGAAGCTTCCTCGTCTCTGATGACTCTAGCCTGTGTCCAGTTGACATAAAAACCCACAATTCAGCACTTTCTAAGACAGCCCAGGCCTGTCTGTTCCCTTTGCCTCTTTCCCATCGGAAAGTCCCCTGCGGGGCTCTTCCCAGGACGGCCCGGGGCGGGGACAGGGAGGACACAGTTCACAGAGGTCAAGGCCACCATGAGAACTTGGCTTTGCCCTCTGAACCTCACGGCCTCCCGGACTACCCAGGAATGTGGTAAGACGCCCTGTCCTTCGGGTGTTTGCCGGGGACCTCCAACATCCTAACACACACACCAGTAAAGTGAACGTTGGCGCTGTCTGATGGACACGCTGCTGCACGGATGAACGTGGCTGTGACATGGAGGCGCGATGACCCTCTTCCATTGTCACGGTGGTAAGGCGCCCTGGGCTCCCGACGCTGTGAAAAGAATACACAGGCTGGCTCCCAGCTGCTGCTGGCTTTTCAGGCTGCGGTGAGTGTGAGACAGAGACAGCTCTCCTGGGCTGATGCCCCCAGTGCCGGCTGGATGGATTAAGAACCCGTAGCCTTGGAAATAGAGGAGTCGCCTCGATCGTGTCTCCCACTGTGTCAGCTAGATTCTTCCCCTTCCTCATTTCCCAAGTTGCTTGGCAAATGCTGGTATTACAGTTCCTCGAATTTTCTGAGTTGATGCCATCTGGGCTGAGGTGAGAGCTGTCGTAGGAAGTCAACACAGAACTGAAAAATCAGCAGCGGGGAGAAGCTCCATGTTCGTAGCCAGGAACCTGTGCAGGATGCTTCACCACAGCCATCACTTAACCCGTAAGAAGAGGTCCTGGGCTTAAACAATGTTGCCTCTTTGCTCCTACTTCTGGGACAGGAATGACATGCAGGGAGAGCCGGGGTGGCCCGGGACACATCGATCAGGCATGAAGCAGGGACAGGTTCCATCTTCCATGTCTGGTTCCCCGGACTCTCCCTCTGCTACACACTCTTCTTTATATGTGTTAGTTCTCACTATGTGATCATCAGTGCTTGGTGGCAGAGGGGACCGGAGGGCCTGAGGTCTAAGACCCCACTCTCAGACCCAGGGTTTCAGACTGGTGCCCACTAGGACCTGCCCAGTAGTGAGGAAATCTTGGTCTTCCTATCTGGTTTCTTCCCCATCAATCTTTGAAGGGATGAAAAGCACCTGTAAAATCTGACAATGAGCCACAGAGAACAGCAGGAGAATGCACAGACAACATCTTTATTCCCCCAGAATGCCCTGCGAGATTTCCTTCTTGCCTGTGTGCTCACTCCAAGCCGAGGGTCACCGTGCCCTGTGGCTCTGCATTCTGCCATGGTACCCACTTGAAATCAAAGCGTTGTGTGCTCAAGGGAGAAGAGAGGAACAGCAGGCAGCAAGCTGCCCACACTTAACTCCTTCATCCCGCCTCAGGGGAGCAGACAGGCAGCAGCTGAGCATCTGGCAGTTCTGTCCTGGCAAGACTGGAAGTCCTTCCTGTCCTTCGGTTTTCTCTGTCAGACTGCTCCCTAATGTTAGCCTCTGGAGAAAGGTCTCTGATAAAAGATACCCTGTGTGC